AGCTACCAATATTTTTCTAATTATATCACTAATACGAAATACTTTTTCTAGTTTAATATTATTATTATACTTATTTATTGTTTTTTTTAAGTATATGTTCATGCATGCATATTTAATGGTGGTACCTATTGGACAATATTTAATTTTTAACACATGATCTTGGTTTAGCATAATTTTGAAATAAATTAGTAAATATATATACCTAGCTAACAGGGCTAGTCGATCTAATAGGTCCGATCATGAGGGAGGATGCATGAGTCGAGCTATAGTGGGGCAGCTGCCCCCTCCCCACCCCACCCCCATATATAGCCCTAGTAATTATATATATATATATATATATATATATATATATATATATATATATAGAGTACATGTTTAGGTATAATTATAAAATATATATAAAAGTAACGAAAAGATAAGTTAGTCAAGTTGGTAAGGTATGCGTGCAACTTATGTAAGGTCATGTGTAGTGCTTGCTAGTTTTACTTACATTTATTATGTATTTTATTTTTTCACCCATAACCAACAATGGTCATTTTTTAAATATATTTTTTCACCATATCTAACCATTATCATTTTTGTAATATAATAATAATGAGATGTGTGATACATAATGTGTTTTGTTATGATTGTTTTTATAACGTTTTGATATATTTTATTTTTCATCTATATCCAACAATATTTCTAGTTATGTTTCCTATGTGTTTTATTTATTTTTTAAAATTATCTCTTTTGTTTTAATATTTGCCCCCACTAAAAAAATTTTATGGCTCCGCCCATGGGAGGAAGGGTATGTTTGGAGAGAGTAAGGCACAATGATATGCTCCCAAACCCACAATTGAAGAAGAATGATGAACGACTAATTTGATAAGCATTATCCATGGTCACCCTGCACATGCTTCGATACAAGAAGGCAAGAATATCACTACCCCAAATATAGTCGTTGGCAGTTTGCAAATCTCTAAGGTAGTGTAAGAAACATTGTCTCACCTTGTTGTTCGACGTGTCGGGGAATAATGCTTCACCTAGTAATTGCATGATATGTAACTGAGTCATGTTTTCCATGTCTTCATCAGTTGAATATAATGCTTTGTCAGAGGTCGCGCATTCTGTCATAGACATCAAGATCCCTTGTGTGGTCTAAGAAACATAGTCCCACCATGTTGCATTATTTGACATACATGTCGGGGAATAACATTTCACCTAGTAATTGCATGATACACAGTCGGGCCATGCATGCATTGCAAGTCTTCATGAGTTGAATGTTCTGTTAGTAGTGTCGGGTTTTGTATAATTGAGGATCAAACAAGATGTGCCAAAAATTGAGTTAGATGTTTGCTTTGCATTTTCCTGAAGGATTTGAAGCTCCAAACCCAATTGGAGGACACGAAGCCAGTGTAACCCTTTCATTTGACATAGTGCACCATCCATTCCCAAAGTGCGCATTGATGGCATATGTCATGACCTCCTCGGCATTATTAGGCCTAACAATAACTCAATTTCCTACACGTCTCGTTTGATCCTGACATGTCTACAAAATTCGCAACCACTAACAAAGCATTCAGATGGTAAAGACATAGAGTGCATGACTCAGTTGCGTATCATGCAATTATTAGGTGAGTGGAGTGTTATTCTCCGACACGTCGAACAACAATGTAAGACTATTTTTCTTAGACTACATTAGAGATTTGCAAAGTGCCACTAACTACGGTTGGGTAGTGTTGTTCTTGCCTTCTTGTACTGAAGCATGTGTAGGGTGACCATGGATAATGCTTGTCTAATTGGCAGTTCCTCATTCTTCTTCAATTGTGGGTTTGGTTACTATCAAGCTTTTCTTCAAAGCACCTATACAGTCTATATCCAATAATGAATATTTTATTTCGAGATTAAGAGTGTACCTTGATAGTAAATTACAGTTTTTTCAACAACCGATAGTAGGTTTCAGGTCAATCTCGTCACTCCCTTATCTATGTCTATGCATATTTTACTTCGAGATTAAGAATAGCTTGATAGTAAACTACACTTTTTCTCCGCAAATCTTCTTGAGTAAAAGACTCATGCTGGATAATTTTTCCTAGTGTAAGTTAATTTTATTTAAAGAATATTCTAACTTTCTATATTAACTATTTTCTTGTAATTTTCTTATATAGTTTCTTTAGTCTATATACCTTTTAACTTCCAACCATTTTTACATCTTTTTGTTTAACTAAGGATCGTGTTTAACCAAGGATTAAAAAAAAAATAATGCTTTGCCTGAATCATGGGCTAGAAGATTTAGTGCGGAATTGGTTTTAATTTGGTAATCCTCACCTTAAATGCATTGATAGTTTAAATTTGATCAAATTCAAAGTTAATTCTTTTGTATTAGTAGCACATCCTCTCTATGATTCAAGTCTCGCCAAAGAATCTGAGTGTGTTAATCCATATATTTTTATGAGTATTTAATTTAGCATCTTCTTTTTTTTTTTTTTTTTTTTTTTTTTTTTTTTTTTTTTTTTTAAGATAGTGCAATTAGGTCCCCTAAGTAAAAAAAAAAAAAAAAGAAAAAAAGAAAAAAAAAAGCTCCATTCAGATCTTCTAAACCTGTAAAATAGCTCAATTGAGTCTAAAGGAACATGTATAGCAGGTTAATTCATCCCAAGGTGACACATGTCACTTTTAAAATATTTTTTTATTTTTATTCTATAAAAACTTTTTATTTATTATTAAAAATAATAAATAAAAATAAAATTAGTCAACGGGTTTCGGGCGAGGACAGCCACGGCTGTCAACATGAGGTGCATATCTGGACCTCAAACGGCCGGGAACAAGGGCGATGGTCATGGCTGTCGCCCTGGTTCCAAACGGCCATGGACGACCATGGTTGTCCGGGGCCGTCACCAGCCAACCATGACGATCTAAAAAAATTTGAATTCGTTGTCAAATCTCTAATGTAGTCTAAGAAACATAGTCTCGATCACCTTGTTGTTCAACGTGTTGGGGAATAACACTTCACCTAATAATTGCATGATACGTAACTGAGTCATGTTTCCCATGTCTTCATCAGTTGAATGCTTTGTCAACGATCACGAGTTCTATAGACATATATCAGGATCAAATCTTGCACTGAAGCCGCCCAAATTAATCACGCACTAAACATTATAGCTATTAAACACACTTTGAAATCATGCACAAACTCGACCTGCATCATATTGATGAATTTCCAAACCATCTCTACCCATCCTACTTAATTATGCTATATATGCATAACCCTCACCTGGCCTGCATTAATCAAACCAAATTTTCTTGCACATGCTTTGATACAAGAAGCCAAGAACAACAATGTCCCAACTGTACGTAGTCGTTGGCACTCTAAAATCCCTTATGTGATCTAAGAAACATAGTCCCACCATGTTGCATTGTTTCAGTTCAAATTCGAGTGAAAACTACTACAATAAATTAATTATTACTCCATATATTGCAAGTATGACTTCTTCTTCTCCGACCAACGAAGCCATGTCCACTTATGTGTCATCTTTGGTTGGCTTCTTCATTCCTCGGCTTCTTGCATCAGATGCCTCCGTAATGTATGGTTCCACAGTACTTCAAATAATTCTATACATACTTCTCATTCAGGTGAATTCCCAGCCCCATGCAAGCATGCACACGACAGGCTTCTAGATCAGGCCGAGATTACAAGTCACCCTCAACAGCTTCAGTCTACGTACATTCTATGGGGCAGGACAAGAGGGTTTTGAGTGTGAGGAAAATAAGAATGAGCTGTATCAACACTATTGTTTGCTATATATATATATATATATATATATATATATATATATATATATATATATATATATATATAGGTTCGGGTTCTGGTGCGCTTGGCACTATTAGGTGTGGATGTGCTGTTGTAAAGATAAGTTAAAATATCTTCACCGTTGATCTCAAAGATCTAAATTCACGTATTTTTCTTGTATTCGCGTACGGAGGGACAAATTAGTAATTTTGAATAAATTAACTTTCATCGCTGTTCTCCATCGTCGTTCGCATTGCCGGCGACTTTGTTTTTGTTTTTCAAAGAATCGTTCAGTTGTCTATCTTCTCCCAGTCGTTTAGCATTGCGGTGTCCATTGTTGTTGTTTCCAAATCTTTTTCCATTCTCTGTCGCTATATTGTATTTATTTGTCGTGGATCTACATTTGTTCTTTTTCATCTCAGAAAACTGATCTTGTTTATTTGGTTATGAAAATGGAGCACGTTAAGTTATATTTTTGAAGCACACTGCGTAATACGTGCACGCATAGTAAGTGTTAGACGGACCGACGCTCATGAAAGATATATGAGACGCATATTAAACATATAAGAGACGCATATTAAAGAGATCTGACACACATATTAAAGGGATATGAGACGCATATTAAAGAGTTATGAGAGATGATTTATTTTAATTGGTACTCAACTCAACGCACATCAAGATTTGAGGTCCCGCATGTTGTACTTTAATGACACGCATTTAATGGTGAATTTGAACGCACATTAATTTATTTGAATTTGTATTCTTTTTTTTTATATTTGTTTTTAATAATTATTATTTTCCACGTTATTTTATTATGTAAATGAACGCACAGTAAGATATGAACTTACGCAAGTTGTAATGTAATTTTTAATACCGAATATCAACACATATTAACTTTGTTTTATAAACATGTTAAGAGTTTTTATGTTTATTTTTTTTCTTTATTTTATTTCAATTACTTATTTATGACGAAAATGAACGCACATTAAATTTTTTATAAAGCACGTTCAATGCTAAGTGGACGCATATTATGATTATCATTTGTATTAATTAATAAGGTGATTTTTAATATGCGTCCATGCCACATATAATTTGCGTGAAAATATATATTAATGTGTTTGAAAACCAAAGGAGTTTATATCAAGATGTTGAACTACTGTAATGTCATAAAACCTTTAACACTAAAAAATATTCACTATTTTTCGTCTTTAATACCAGCCTTTAATCAAGACAGTTCATTGATTTCAGCAGTTAAAATTGCTGTTATGTATTTGACCCTGAGGTCTGCAAGATCTGATTGTTTATTTTTACTACTGTCATCTCCCATGTATGTTTGCATGATGCACATTGTAAATACTCCAGAATCGTCTTTCTTCTCGGTATCACTCCATTGCATTAGCATTCGCTGAGGTGTAATCTTTTTTAGTCTGTTTGCAGCACTGTATGAATCCCTCTGGTTCAAATATCTCACAAAGTAGTCTTTCTGCAGATTAATAGAAAAGCATTAAAAACAGAAAAAACTACACTTCATAAAATGTTTTAAAATGTGTGACTTAGTACTCACCAAAAGAAATGGTATATCACCATATTTGGCAATACCAGCACCATCAGCAGAAGAGTTGCCAAGTATGTGTATGGATGTTTGATAAACATCCAAATCAATGCAGATGACATATATTTGATCAGTTGCAATGACTGGGAAAAAGAACTGCATTTTGTACATGTTAGTTCGGAGAAGTTATAAATTCAAATGTAATGTAAGTATGTAGAATTTAATTTACCAAACGATAGTTTGTAGGGTCACCAGTAGCAGTGTCAATGTCATGATTAACACTTTCTTGAAACTTTTCATACAGTTGATCAGTATTGTATGCAGCTGGTTTATACACAATAGAAGATGCCTACAGGAGTATGATAATCTTGTCAGGAATGCAGTATGTGCTCCAAGAAATTTGTTAATGCGCATGAAATCGTAAATCAATAATAAAATAACTTACAACTGGTGTTGTTGAGAAAAAGAATCTTCTTTTGTTAGGATACTTAAAGGTGTAGGTCTCCATGCTATTTAGAATTAAAACCCAAGTATCCAAAACACCAGCTTCTACACGTTCACCCTTCCTCAATGACCTCAACTCAATCATCAGTAAACGTTTCTCTCCATGTTTAAAAGCAAATTCACGCCTACAAAAAATATCAGATATGAAGTAAAAAAAATCAATAAGTAAATAAATAAAAAATGCAAACTTAACTTGTACAATTAATATGGGTGTGTCTTTCTACAAAAATACATGTACCTTAAGTTTTAACAACAATTCACATTAAATAAACAATCAAGTAAATTAAGAACAAAACTCACACATTTTAAGAACAAGACTCACACACATTAACCAGAAAACTCACGCACATTAAGCACACAAATCATTCAATTTAAACTTTTAACATTTGACACAACTTGCACTAAGTAGACACTGACGCACATTAAGTATAAAACTCACGCACACTAGGCATTACAGATACGCACATTAAGCATTACACAAACGCACATTAATCAGAAATCTCAGGCACATTAAGTATAAGACTCACACATCTTAGGAACAAGAATGAAACACCTTAATCACAAAATTCACGCACATTAAGCACACAAATAATGCAATTTAAAGTGTTAAAAACTCACACAACAACCCATGCTAAGTTGACAGTGACGCACATTAAGCATAAATCTCACGCACCTTAGGCATTACAAAAACGCACATTAAGAATTACACAAACGCATATTAATCAGAAATCTCAAGCACATTAAGTATAAGACTCACACACATTATTAACATCTTATAGCACACGGGGAACACTAACATGTTATGAAACTCATTTCATACATAGGAATTTCAACTGTAACTTACCTATTTGTATAATTGGCAGTATAAACCCAGTTGTTGAGCATGATTTCATTAGGAGTGTGCGGTGCAGTGATGTTCAGTTTCATTGTAAAGCATGGAGAGTCCATTGCATATTTCATTTTGCTTTCCACACAGTGTCTCTGCAGTCTCCCCTCAGCAGGTGTTGCTGTTTCCTTTGCAGCTTCGTTAACACTTATCTTGTTTGTATTCTGAATCTTAGGTGTTTCAAATTCTGTGGCAAGAGTACTGTCAGCATGGTGATCTTCGTCACGAGACTTAACCTTGTCATTATTGTTCCCATCCAAAGTAGTCTACTGAAGATCATCAACAATGTAGCAAGCAGCAATATTTAAAACCTCATATGAAATACTTGTTGCTGTCTGTGCTTCCTTTGGATTGGAATTGACAACCGGGTCACTGTAGCACTATCGACATTGCTGCAAGTGGGGCTTGGTATTGGTGTTTTTAAAAGGTCGAAACTGGGAAATTCAAACTGCTGTTCTTCTAAATACTCTTTCCTTTTTTGTATTGCAAGGTCAATTGCAATATATGTTTGTGGATCGCCCCAAAAGGAGTCTTGGCTGCTAAATGCTTCTCGCTCTGCTTGGGAGAGACATGATTGCACGTCTTGAACAACAGGACTGAGTGCCTTTATAGCCATTGAATGCAGGTTTTTTACATTCTGATTGTTTTCAAACATGGCTGGTGAATTTTTTGAGTAGTCAATCAGGTTTACCATCTCATCAGAAAACCTATGCAAAGACTGTGCATAACCAGTGCAGAATTCCTGTTGTAAGAATTAATGTGCGTACGGTTATGACATAATGTGCGTGGAATAGAATCTTTAACTTGCATGCACATGAATTATTGCGTGTGTGATGGTAAAACATAATGTGCTTTACAATTATACAGTAATATAAGTGAAAGTAGTTTGAATAAAAATAAACAAAAACATCATAGAATGAAGAACAAACCTTCACTCTTTCAAGGGGCACATGTTGGACTTCAGTATGTTTTTTTTACCTTTGACAGCTGGAAAAGGTGGCAATGCTTGTTGATGACTACATTTCAATACTTCCATTTCTGGTAGATCATTACTATCAAATTCTTTTGAATCTGTTTGAGTGGGCACAAACTGGGGATTACATCTATGAATTCTACCTTGTCCAAAAGCCCCAGACTTAAACTCTTCCAACTCTCGGTCTTTTAAATGTTTAGTTGTCCATCCTATTAAAGCTGGAATAGATCTTTTAATAGGTCTATGGAATTGTAACAGAACACGATCAACATAATGTACCTGAATACAAATGACAAATGTTAGCAAAATAACTTACTATGTTTTGTATTTTAAATAGAACAAATACACATTTAAGACTTACAAGCATGAACAGGAGGGACCTCGGGAAATAACCAGTTGGGTTCGGTTGCCAAGCAAGTACTGCAGTATTCAATCTCTGCAATAGGAAGCGACACCAATTGAAATCATGGATTTTGGTGACATCATTCAACGCCTGCAAGATGCGTGGACCAACATATCCACTTTTAGGGTCATCAATGTACATAGAGCTCAGTATGACCATGAAGTGGATCTTGAACCAGTCTCCCCCATCAGTGCAGTCCATCATTGCTTTAATAGCCTCACCATAGAGCACTGAGCTTGATTTTTTTGGTTGAATTTTGTCTTTCCAATCCAAGAACAGTGGGAGAGTAGGAGATAACCTGTCTTTCTCATATGCAATTTCAAATGGTCCCCTTGGGAAGCCTAAGGCATACTCAACATCATCTTCTGTCACATCAAACTTTGAACTAGAGTGCAATGTCAAGGTACCGTCCATTAGATCATAGTTGTGGAGTATCCAGTCGCTTAGCCGTATTGGGAATTCTGTAATCTCTAGGCTAAGGATACTACCAAAACCGATATCCATGACTGCAGCCCGTTGTTCAGGGCTAAAATCTTTGATTGCAGAAATCAACCTAGCTGATGATCCCCTGTTCTTAACTTCAGGCACACCGTTATAAATTCCTTGGTTTCTATTTTTTTATCTCTGTCTTTGTTTTCCATCCTGTACATCCCCCCAGAGGATGTAGCAATAACCATATCTAATTTCTGTTGGCTTTTGCGTTTTTTACCTATTGTTTTTTTTTTTAAAAAAAAATTAATAAATGAATAAAAAAAAATATATAAATTGATTGCAAAATGCAAGAATGGTTAAATGCATAATCAATCTGCATTAAGTTGAATATAGTTTGCACAAGGAAAACAACATAATTCATCAAACATAAAGATATTGGAGTTTTTAAAGTTAATGTGCGTTAGGATAGTACAGTATATGCGTGTAAATATAACTTATTCAGTGAGTTTGAAATCTAATGTGCGTTAGGTGAGTACAGTTTATGCGTTATATTATTACTTAATGTGCGTTAAGACGTAAAGTAAATTGCATACAAGCATTACTTAAGGTGTGTGTATAATTAAAACTTAATGTATCAATTTGAAAATCAATTCGCAGGAATAAGATGTTCGTACAGTTAGGTACCAGTGTGCGTCAATGAGTATATATATGTATATATATTGCAGCAATTTAACTCATAGTGTGCGTGAACTAGTATGGCGTTGTTTTTGCATTTAGATCTTATTTTGTATAATTCTGAAATAAACATGCAAATCATACTGTGCGAGAAATTAATCACTAAACAATATTATTGGAATGAATAGGGGGTCGAATTTACCTTGTACCGTAGTTGCTAGTTCGTTGAGTAGATTTTTGAGACTGTGGAGCATTTCCCGGCGACGCCATGTCTGCGGTGTTGTTAAAAAAAAGCCTGGAATGGAGAATGACGACTGTAATCGGTAAAATTTTTGAAAAATGCGTTTGGAAACTGAACAACGCGAAGGTGGGAAGATTTCTGTTTTTATTTGTGGAGTACTAATTCAGCTGTCTTAGAATCGGAGTGCGCGAATTTGTTTGAAATGAAAGAACAGTGATATTTTAAGTTCAATGCGCGAAATAAACTAACACTAAAGCACACTGAAGTATTAGTCGGACGGACGCACATTAAAGAGATATGAAACGCACAGTAAAGAAACATGAGACGCATATTAAAGAGATATGAGACGCATATTAAAGAGATATTAGAGTAATGGTTTGTTAATTGGTTCTCAAACGAACGCACATCAAGACGTGAGGTCGCGCACGTTGTATTTTAGCAACTCGCACGTAATGGTGAATATGAACGCATATTAATTTATTTGAATTTTTGTTTTTGTTTTTAATAATTATTATTTTCCATTATATTTTTAGTATGCAAATGAACGCACATTAAGATATGCACTCACGCAAGTTGTACTGTGCGTCAAAATATAACTTAATTTGCTTAACGTAACAAAAGGTTTTTATATAACAAAAATATATTAATGTTTGCTAATTACATAAACTAATACTAAGTGGGCTATTTGTTTTCAAGACCAGCTTTTTTGTTGTTCTCAATGGACAATTCGTTATTTTTAGCATTTAAAATCGCTGCAATGTACTTGATCCTGATATGTTCAAGGTCTTTTTTTCCTTCCTTTCTTGATGCCACAGTCCCAATCAGAGGATCCAGTGCCCATGTATGTTTCCATGTGGCGCATTTTAAATACACCACAGTCATCCTTGTTTTTCTGATCTCTACATTTCATATCCAGTATTGTTGTTAGAGCCTTTTTAAGTGTGTCTGCAGTAGTGTACATCATCTTCCTGTGTAAATATCGTGCAAAATAGTCTTGCTGCAATAAAACAGAAAATTATTTCTTTAAAAAAAATTATAACAAAATGTT